TCATGACACACTACAATGTAATAGAAATAACGTGCACAATAAATATAATGTACTTGAATCATCCCAAAACCATCCCCCTGCTTGTCTGTGGAAAAACTTGTCTTTGGTAAAACCAGTCCCTGGTGCCAAAGAGGTTGAGTTCTGCTGTACTAGGGGGAACTTCAGAATCTGACTCTCTGGGCATGGGGCCTGGGAATCTGCACTTAAAAACGCTCCTTGGGGCTGGGCACAGTGGCTCATGTCTGTAATCCCAGCACTTAGTGAGGCTGAGGCAGATGGATCACCTGAGATCAGGAGTTCAAGACCAGCCTGGCCAACATGGTGAAACCCCATCTCTACTAAAAACAAAAAATTAGCTAGGTATGGTGGTGGGTGCCTGTAATCGTAGCTACTTGGGAGGCTGAGGCAGGGAGAATCACTTGAACCCAGCAGGAGGAGGTTGCAGTGAGCTACGATTGCACCACTGCACTCCAGCATGGGCAACATCGAGACTCCGTCTCCAAAAAAAAAAAAAAAAAAGCTCCTCGGTAAATTCTGATCAGAGATTTGTGAACCACTGACAGAGTAACAGAATGAAGCCCTAATGCCTATGTGATAATGGGTTTCTACAATGCTGACAGTGCAACTGGAAGTTCCCTTTATAGTAATACTTTGTCCTTTCATATCCCATACAGACAGTTTCCTAAGTAGTAAACTTTTCTTTTTAGGTTGGCAGGAAACAATTTTCCACTGACTGTCTTTCCATGTGGAGGGACTTTAGCCAGTATTTCTCAGAGTACAGGGGCACTACTGCACTCTGAATTGGAAAATTTATTTTGTGGCACTGTAGAGCACAGCGTAGGACATTTACCATCCAGGCCCTTACTTTTAAATAGCAGTGGTGATCCCGTCATTGTGACAACCAAAACACATCCCCTCACATTCCTCAGTAGTCATGTACCACTTAATAATGTTTGGTCAACAATGACTGCGTAAACAATGGTGGTCCCAAAGATTATGATACCCAATTTTTACTATATACTATGTTTAAGTATGTTTAAATACAGAAATATTTACCTGTGTTATGACTGCCTACAGTATTCAATACAGTAATGTGCAAGTTTGTAGTTTGCATGGAGGAGCAACAGGCTACACTATATAGCCTAGGTGTGGAGTAGGCCATACCATCTCAGTTTGTATGGTATACTCTCTGAGGTCTACACAATGACATCGCTTAACACATTTCTCAGAAGGTGTCATGGCGGGGTATGGTGGCTCATATCTGTAATCCTAGCACTTTGGGAGGCCAAGATGGGAGGATTGTTTGAGCCCAGGAGTTAAGAGACCAGCCTCCTGGGCAACAGGGTGAGACCTCATTGCTATTAAAAAATAACAGCAGCCGGGCGCGGTGGCTCAAGCCTGTAATCCCAGCACTTTGGGAGGCCGAGGCGGGTGGATCACGAGGTCAAGAGATCGAGACCATCCTGGTCAACATGGTGAAACCCCATCTCTACTAAAAATACAAAAAATTAGCTGGGCATGGTGGCGCGTGCCTGTAATCCCAGCTACTAAGGAGGCTGAGACAGGAGAATTGCCTGAACCCAGAAGGCGGAGGTTGTGGTGAGCCGAGATCGCACCATTGCACTCCAGCCTGGGCAACAAGAGTGAAACTCCGTCTCAAAAAAAAAAAAAAGAGCATGTCGCTATTAAGCAACAGATGATTGTGTTCCTAGGACATCAGGACAACCCAACAGAGAGCCACTGTGCTGCAACACCATTCCTGACCTCTCACCCTACCCTTACACAAAGCCCAGCTTTTGAAGGGAACTGTTCTAATAGACAGGTTCTGCATCTTCTGCATGCGTCTCCCATGCGGGGTGTGTTCTGGCTGCTATTTCCAGCTTGGCCTGTGCCTGGTTGGCTTAGTCTCCTCATGTCAAGGATCTGATCTCAGAACTATTTTTTTTACACTAGGAGGGGAAGAAAGGGGCTTTTAGCTTTCCCTAAACATCTGTAACAATAAATCAATCTTAAAGTAACTGATTTATAGTTATTACAGAGGATACAAACATTATTATCATACTCCCCCTTTTCCATTTAAAAGATGCCTTTCATTATGTTCCTACTGAAACAGAATGTTACTATTTAAAGAGAAAGAACTTTGACGAGCATTTTTTATTGAACAGTTTTATTCTGTTTTAGAATAAAAACCTTACTTTAATATTGTAAAGTGTACTGCAGGTATGCCATGCTGCCAGTTATTGTTGGGGCACAAAATGCCCCAGTCAGTGACTCAGAGGGTTGGGAAAACGCGTGAACTCATACTTTCAGAGCAAGTAGAACTAGTATTTACAGTTTTCTTTCTTGAAATTCGCCTGGGACATCTCAGTCTACACAGGTATTGTCATAGTACTTGCTTTGATGCTCTGAATGCCTCAGAAATGTGTTCAATATCATGATTTGTGGGTGCTCTAAAAGGTTTTGTTGTAAACATGCAAGCAAACAGCACTAAACAATATTATCTAAACTATGGCTGCCAAGTACTGAATCTTAATAATAAAACCAAATTACAAAACATTGCCTTGTAGAGCCATATAAAAGATATAAAATTAAAATAAAAAATATCATCCAGCTTTAAATATTCCAATTCTCCTACAGTACAGTTTCCACATCTTTATCACTACTGAATGTTTTAAGGAGAAAGTTAACAAAAAAAATCAAAATAGATAAAATATTTAAATCTTTGGATCCTTTTATTCCATGGCCTTCATAAAAACACAAAAGTGGCCAGATTTTTCCCACTAGTGCTTAAAATATCAAAAAGATTCACTAGTAGTTTATAATTAACAATGAACTCTATACTGAGTCATCTGTGGGTCACAGGCCCAAGGACCAGTGGTGCCATGTGTTACAGGCTGCCAAGATAATTCCTCACATTCTGAATCCTCTTGAAATATGATGGAATGAGTCAAGGTATTATGACTAAATTCCAGGCATTATAGAAAAAACAGGTTCATTGATGCCTAGTTTTAAAGTCCTAAAAAAGGGGGAAGGATTACTTATTTGAAAATACAGCTAAGTACATTCTCATCTTATGACTATTTACATTTGTATACTGAAAATATTGATTATCTGGACAGATCCTGTGATATGCCATTTGCTACAAAATAAAGTTCTTACAATGAGCATGAATAATTTACCCTTTTAGATAATGAAATAACGTATCAAATCTTCATTTATGTTCAAACATTAAAAAACAAAATCAAAAAATGTTAAGCCTGGAAAACTAAGAAAAAAAGACCCACCCATAATGCTGCTGTTCAGCGCATCAACTTCTGCAAGGACACAGTATGTTTGCTGACTTTAAAATGTTTATTCTTTAAAAAATTAGTTGCTTTTTATACAGCTATACAAAGGTCTTAATGTTTCTTTGGCAATGGAATATAATGGAATTTTACAACTATATAAAAAAGTTACCTTTGCCTAAGAAACAGTATTTACTGTGTGTACATAGTTGACTGACAAAATTCTCTACCATCCAGCACCCTAATTAACTGACGAAATAAGCTACCTCATATTACAGGGTTCCCCAAAAGAAAGGAGGAAAAAGATACACACACACGCACACATACACACACGCACACAACTTTCTGTGGCTCAAAACACAGTATCACGGCCCTATCCGTAGGCAACTTGCAATTGCCAAATACAATTTAGTGATAAAAAAACCTTTCAGTGATGAAAAAATACTTGTAAGTCCCACTCAAGTACTGCTTTAGTTTAACTATATATAAGAAATTACTTAAGCTTCGGCTATTCCAAATATATTTAATGCTCATGTTGTAAGATGAGCCTTCCACCCCCAAAAGTAACTGCATTTTATCTTTGAAATAAGCGGAAAAACAAACAAAAAACTAAAACCCAGTGCTGGTGACAAATGTACAGCGAATTCACTTCTTCATTCTTCGCAAAGACTGAAATCAATTTTCAGGACCATGAAGAGCTAGAAATTCACCTATTTTCAGAGACTTGTTTGTAGACTATGCAGCAACTTTGTTGTCTTTCTAAAAAAGAAAAAAAAATTTAGCTCATGTTCCAAATTATTGGCTTATTATCTTTTACTTTGCTCAAGTACTTTAAATTATCTTTAAATACACCACCTTTTTACTGTCATAGAAAAATCTGTCTCACTGATTTCCAGGAAAACTCTTTTTATAACTTCCATACTCAGTAGTAACTCATTGTTTACTGCATTTTCCAGTCAGTAGAGGTTAAAGCAGTGACCACCACCCAAAATACAGGTATACTTCCTCATCTTTGGTTGTTCTCCCTAATAATTTTTAAAAAACAGTGATAGAACTTAAACCCTCAACTCAGTAGTCAAACTCAGCAAATACAACTGTCAACACACTGTGAAACAAGTTTCATTAAATCCCCAAGTCTTTGATTTCTTTACTAAGCAATAAAATACCCAGACAGTATAACATTTCTCTCCAAAATTTCATGCCAGGAGGAAGCACTGGCTTAAAAATCAATTTTAAAAGGATAACTTTTAAATCTGAAATAAGTTCTGAAAGGCAGTAGGTGGACTGGGGAATTTTAAAAAAGTAACCAGTGAGAAAGCAATAAAAATCTCAAGGAGATTTCCAGCGAGACCAATCCTAAACTAAAGGCCTGTACAAAGAGAACCAAGGGCTTCTATTTTCCTTTGGACTAGCTGCTACCATATACTTGATTTTTACTGCTGATTCTCACCCCAACTGTTAGAAACAGACATTTCCTAGATGAGACTTAACTTCACCTGTATACAACATCAAAACATTTGTACAATGTTATTACACTGAAATACATATGGTATAGTTTAAGTTGACAGCAATGAGCTCAAAGATGAACCCGCTGTCCCCACCAAAGCCAACTTTCACACCTCCCAATGTATCTGTTTTTTTTTTTACCTTTCAGAAAGCAGTACGATCAATCCAGACCTTTTAGGGTCCAAAAGCTGTGGTTTTCTGAAAGGTAAAAAAAAAAAAAAAAAAAAAAAAAAAACACAACAAAAAAAAGAAAGAAAGAAAAAAAGAGACAGGAGAAAATGAAAGGGGGAGAGGAGAGAGAGTATCACGCTGAGTCATTCAGACACCTTATTGTCTTTGGACCCCATCTAAAGAAACACAGATGTAATCTTTATCACCCACCATGGTGGCTTAACCTCACTGACAGCAGCATACAAAACAGGAGCTGGTTACATTATTATTCCTAGTCCTGATCTCCATTCCCACCTCAAAAAAGAAGGGGTGGGGGAAGCACCATAAAACCAAACTTACGATAAGTTTATATTTCTTTTCTTTTTTTTGAAACAGGTCTCACTCTGTCACTGGGCTACAGTGCAGTGGTGTGATCATGGCTTGTTGCAGCCCTGACCTCCCAGATTCAAGTGATCCTCCTGCCTTAGCCCCCTGAATAGCTGGAACTACAGGCACGTCCCACCACTCCAGCTATTTTTTAAACTGTTTAGTAGAGATAGGGATTCCTTATGTTGCCCATGCTGACCTTGAATTCCTGGGCTTAAGCAATCTTCCTGCCCTAACTTCCCAAAGTGCTAGTATTACATGTGTAAACCACTGCACTGGCCTATATTTCCCACATTATCCTTAAGGAAAATCAGGCTAGAAGTCAAGAGAGTGAGTTTCGGCTTTGTTAGCTTGTACCTCAATCATGAGAATTAACTTCTTGGGGTCCTTAGTTTCCTTATCATCTAATGGAAGCATGGTAGGGGAGAGATTCTAGTTTGGCTGATTCTTTTAAGGATTCTAAAACTTAATGATTTTTATCTTTACCCATGTTTTCATTAAACCAAGCTAGTTTATGCTTACCCCCAAACTATAATGACTCATGCTAATACAGCACAAAAAATAAAGCCAACTCATTTCATGAAGGCTGCAGAAAATGTCATCTATGTCCATCTCTGGGAGGACGTGTTAGATGTTTCAGATACAAGTTTAATCTTCAGAGATAAATCTCCTTTATGTGACACTGGTCACTCACCATTTCCTACCTTTAAAGGTGCCAGGTGAAATGATTTTATGATTTAGGAGGTGTAGGGCTGCTGGGGTCAGGGTTCTAGTGGCAGATGAAAGGGTTATTCAATTCTGGAATGAAAAATCAAGGGGCTAGCCACACTGACAGATGTTGGCCTCACTGAAGGCTGGAGTGGGGAATTCCTAATTAACATAATAAGCAATTACTTCAAGCCCACTATGGCTTCATGTTGAGCTGCAGCATGTTGTGGTGGAAAGAAAAGTAAAATACATTTTCATTAAAGCCAAGAGGTTCTCATTTAGCTAGTGATACAGAATAAAACTAAATACAAAAAAATAGGGAATGTGAGTGTATTTAAAATGTGTGCCAAAGAAAGCAGATAGCCACAGGTCAGTAAAAGGAGGAAATCAGGAAGGAAGAGAAGACAGAGCAAAACTTGGACAAGGCTGTTGTAAAGGGTAAGTGAAAGGGGGGATCTGACTTTTAGCTATGTCTGCCTCCCACCAGAATGGAAACATCAAAAGGGGTGGGCCTGCATCTGTCAGTGCCAATGCTCAACAGAGTTCCTGGCATATCTGAAGAATTATGTGTATTTAGAAAATGAATGAGGATGGAGTTGGAATCAAGCACAATGTGTATGAGAGATAACCATGAGGGAACCTGCTTGAATCAGATAGGTTAAGGGGTAATGATGAATGAGGCCAAATGTATCAAGTTGGATCCTCACACAGTTCAGAGTAGGGAGTGTAATGTCACAACTGAGCCTCCTAACCACTGGGTTAGGAGGGTTTGCTGAGTTCATCACTCCTGGAAACACCTAAGTAGAGGCTGAACTATCTGTCAAGGATATAGAAGCATGGATAAAGATGCACGCAGATAACTACGACGATGCATTTTCCATCTGTAATATATGTGTGATAGTTTTATCAAAGGCTCAAGATGATAAATAGTGTGACATGACTTCAAAAAAATGTTTGTATTATTAAGCATGTGTAGCACACAGAGTTACTGAGTGAAAGGTTTGTTTTTTTCTTTTTCTTTTTTGAGACGGAGTCTTGCTCTGTCACCCAGGGTGGAGTACAGTGGCGTGATCTCAGCTCACTGCAACCTCTGAGTCCTGGGTTCAAGCGATTCTCCTGCCCCAGCCTCTGGAGTAGCTGGGATTATAGGTGTGCACTACCATGCCTGGCTAATTATTTACTTTTAGTAGAGATGGGAGTTTCACCATGTTAGCCAGGCTGGTCTCAAACTCCTGACCTCAGGTGATCTGTTCGTCTCAGCCTCCCAAAGTGTTGGGATTACAGGCGTGAGCCACTGCACCCAGCCTGGAAGGTTTGTTAATGAGTGTTCAGAGAAAGGGAAATAACAGTCGGGTTACACATAGAAAACACGATAGCTATTTCTTTAAATATCTGAAAAATTATCCTGAAGTCATGTATATTTTTTCTCTGCATTTACAAGGGTAGAGTTAAACAGGTTGAAGATAAAGGCAGAGACTTTGTGTGTCTGTGAGATCTTAACAATTATAACATTCCTAGGGTAGGATAGATGCCCTTGGGAAGAGTAAGCTCCCAGCCTCTATAAGAGATACTGCAGAAGAGGTTTATGCTTTAACCTGGTCAGACCTCTCAGATTTTTCTAACTCTGAAAGTTTAATGATCTTTAAAAGGTCTATTTTAGAATAAGTGGTGCAACTCTTTATCCACAAATGTCAAAACTAAGGGTCTGAAACGTCATACTAGTAACTATTGCTATTATTCTCACTTGGATCAAAGTCTAATTTAAACGTACTTTTTATCAAAACAAGCTGACTCAATGTGGTCTTCTAGGTTCTTCAAAATGTAGCTGATCTGCCTTAAAGTGGGGTAAAGAGAGACGAAGGTTTGAAGCTTGACTGATGGGTTCTCATAGTATTTGACAGGGATATCTCAAAGGAATAAATGTGATGACCTGCAACAGACCACAATCATGGATACTTCTAGTGCCTGGGCAGTTTACCGTGAGCCTCCAGTACCTGGGCAGTATACCATGAGCCAACATGGAACACTGGGAGGAGGCAGAGCTGAGATGACCGGAGAGGAGGAAAATTACGAGCTGAGATGACCAGAGAGGAGGAAAATTACGAGCTGAGATGACCGGAGAGGAGGAAAATTACGAGGTCAGTCTGAGGAAGTTCAAACTGACAGCAGGACAGTGAAGATAAGAGATACAGTATAAAAACATAGGGTCCAGGACAGGGTTACAAAAGGGAGAATGGGACAGGCACTGTGGCTCATGCCTATACACCCAGCACTTTGGGAAGCTGAGGCGAGAGGATTGCTTAAGCCTAGGAATTCAAGACCAGCATGGGCAACACAGTGCGAGTGAGACCCCATGTCTACAAAAAAATTAAAAAATTAGCTGGGCATGATGGTGCATGTCTGTGGTCCCAGCTATGTGGGAAGCTGAGGTGGGAGGATTGCCTGAGCCTGGGAGGCAATCAAGACATTGCACTCCATCCTGGGTGACAGAGCAAGACCCTGATAAAAAAAGAGTATTAAAAAAATTTAGGAAGAGTATAAACTAAAAATCTAGAAGAGTATTTTAAAAACTAGGAAGAAAGACCCCAAACTGGGTAGTTGGTCAGTGTCAAATATTGGAGAGGAGTTAATGGCAAATAAAATATTTGTGAAAATACTACTGCTGAATTTTGTAAGCAAGGTGTCACTGGCAACCTTAAGGACAGTAACAGTGATAAGTAAGGACTATTTTGGAGTTCCTAAGACAGATTTCTCCCAGCTGGGAAGCATAAGCTGGTGACCTGAGCATAATTTTTGGCAGTCTTGGTTGTGATAGCACAATATCAAAGGCATCAAAATTAAGAGAGCAGGTTCAAAAGCCACTAATACTGAACTCTTTCCAGAGAGATCTCAACAATGGCCAGTTTTAAGTGCTGAGCAATGGAATTCCTACTAACAGGTCATTCTGTTTTTAGCTGCCTGTTGCTATTATGAGTGGAGCTCTTTACAAGATTTTGATCCTTTCTATTATAGCCTTTCCTCTCCACTACCTCTAAAATCAATAAACTAAGATAGTCTACTATTAACTGAGATAGTTACTATGCTGGCTTAATTTGCAGATGCCTGTCAAAAGCTAAATTATACACATAAGGATACTACAGAGAGTTATAGAATTCTCTAGCAGCAGCAGCTCCTGAAGGCCAATACCGAAACATTTTCAAGATCATGGTGAAAGGAGAAAACCTGGGAAAATGTAGTGAATTTTTCTCAAAACCAAATTAAGAATAGTGACTCAGGAGCTAACTTGTTGGGCTCAACAACAAGCACCATCACTTACTAGCTATGTGACCTTTGGCAAGTTACTTAATATCTCTACACCTATTTCCTCACTTGTAAAATAGGGTTAATAATAGTACCTAACTCACAGAGTTGATGTGCAGTTTAAATAAGTTAATATGTAAAAAAACATTTAAAACAATGTCTGGACCAGGTGCAGTGGCTCACACCTGTGCACTTTGGGAGGCTCAGGAGGGTGGACCATGAGTTCGAGACCAGCCTGGCCAACATGGTGAAACTCTGTCTCTACTAAAAATACAAAAATTAGCAGGGCATGGTGGTAAGTGCCTGTAATCCCAGCTACTCAGGAGGGGCTGAGGTAGGAGAATTGCTTGAAACCAGGAGGCAAAGGTTGCAATGAGCCGACATCGTGCCACTGCACTCCAGCCTGAGTAGACAGTGAGACTCCGTCTCGAAAACAAAAAACAGAAAACAAAACAATGTCTGGTACTTCGTGTATGCCATATAAATGTGAACACTTGCCTTTCATTTTGAGAGTATGTGCTTCCTAGACAGAAACTTTTGGTGTTAAAAGTGTTTTCTATAACATGAAATAGAGGTGATATTACATTGTCCTTTTTTGTATAATGTTTTTAGTAATCCCTACTGTGCCCCCTACAAAAAAAAAAGTTTTTAAAAGAGAAGAAATGAAAAACCAAATAACCCTAAGTCAGTTTCTAATACATTTTTTTGGGGGAAATTTTGCCCATCCATAAAATGTGACACCATAGTTCTATAATAAAAAGACAAGAAAGGATATCACACCTAGCTCTTACTTCCTTCCATTGAGAAGAAAACCATTGGGAAAAAAAGTTTTTAGGTTCATTAGCCAAGAAGTTAGTTTCTTCAACACATCTAAATCACATATATCCTCTACTGAAAAGTCAAAATGGAAGTTACTCTAATGTCCTCAAATAAATTTCACCCTAAACAAAAAACAAGTAAAAATGTTTTGAGTCTTGTAAAATGCATGTCAACCCCAAAACATTTATTAACAATAACACTTACCCTATATTCAAAATCTGCAAACTCCCGGCCCCCACGACCTCCTCTGAATCCACCACGAAATCCTCGAGGGGCAGTGAAGGTACCACCTCTGCCACCACCACGCCCTCTGCCACCACGGAAACCAAGACCTCCTCTGCCTCTGTATCCCCCACGACCACGGTTTGGACGAAGTGGGATTCCAAATGTTTCAGCATTTAATCTTCTTTCTTCAGCCCAGGTTGGTCTCCGTTCTCTATTATAAAAGCAAATAATCTTCAGCATATCAAGCTTAAAAGAACATCACTCAGCCAAAATACGTAACACTGTTCCCAAATTAAAGCTAAATAATTCCTAAAGCTAATTAGAAATAAGCATTTAAGTTATCACAAGCTGTTCATGGCATATGAGTTCAATATGTTCCTATAATATTCTGTTAAACTTCATGTGGCCGGGTGCGGTGGCTCAAGCCTGTAATCCCAGCATTTTGGGAGGCCGAGGCGGGTGGATCACGAGGTCAAGATATCGAGACCATCCTGGTCAACATGGTGAAACCCCGTCTCTACTAAAAATACAAAAAAAATTAGCTGGGCATGGTGGCGCGTGCCTGTAATCCCAGCTACTAGGAGGCTGAGACAGGAGAATTGCCTGAACCCAGGAGGCGGAGGTTGTGGTGAGCCGAGATTGCGCCATAGCACTCCAGCCTGGGTAACAAGAGCGAAACTCCGTCTCAAAAAAAAAAGAAAAAAACTTCATGTGAACACATGACTGATATTAGTTTCTTGCAAATACACCTGATAAAACATAGAAACATAATAACAGCCCCAATATAATGTAAATTCAGATATCATGAGATTGGTACTGACTTCGCTTTCCACTCAGTCCCAAGGGAAAAAAGAAGACAACGCCAGACAGGAGGACCTTATCTCAGGAAGCTAGGAGATGGAAGGTGGGCCCTTGGGTCCCCATTATGCTGCTGGCCCAATCTCTGGATCTAATGCCAAAGAACCCAACAAGTATCTGAACTGTTGCTGCTGTCGTCTAGCCAATTGTGGGACTCAGAATCATCTCCAACCATGTCTATACTGAAGTAAACAACTGCCACCAGAGGGCACCAGACTTCAGCCACGACAAGGACAAGGACAATCTGGATTGGGCAGGAGAACCTCTAGAACTGTTTGGCCAGGCACAGTGGCTCAAGCCTGTAATCCCAGCATTTTGGGAGGCCAAGGCGGGTGGATCACGAGGTCAAGAGATCGAGACCATCCTGGTCAACATAGTGAAACCCCGTCTCTACTAAAAGTACAAAAAAATTAGCTGGGCATGGTGGCACGTGCCTATAATCCCAGCTAGTCAGGAGGCTGAGGCGGGAGAATTGCTTGAACCCAGGAGGCGGACGTTGCACTCCAGCCTGGGTAACAAGAGCGAAATGCCGTCTCAAAAAAAAAAAACAAAACTGTTAGTTCCTCGAACTGGGTCCTTTAATTAACCTCAATAATTTGCCAATTTTCTGGACCCACATTTACTACAATCTGGCAGTTTTTAATGGTATCAGCAAACTTCAAAGTAGATTAGCACTTTGGTTCTGGCTTCATTTTAACTACAATGTAAAGGGATGAAAGAAAAGGTCATACTTAGATATTAACTGCTTGTTTTAATTACTAATATTAAAATATGCATATATCCTTAAACAAAAGTATATAGTTATTTCTTCTTTTGAGTGAATAATTTTAGCACTTTGGGAGGCTGAGGTGGGTGGATCACCTGAGGTCGGGAGTTTGAGACCAGCCTGGCCAACATGGAGAAACCCAAGAAACCCATCTCCACTGAAAATACAAAATTAGCTGGACGTGGTGGTGCATGCCTGTAATCCCAGCTGCTCAGGAGGCTGAAGCAGGAGAATCCCTTGAACTCAGGAGGTGGAGGTTGTGCTGAGCTAAGATTGTGCCACTGCACTCCAGCCTAACTCCGTTTCAAAAAAAAAAAAAAAAAAATCAATTATGGCCAGGTGTGGTAGCTCATGCCCATAATCCTAGTACTTTGGGAAGCTGAGGTAGTGGGAGGATTACTTGAGGCCAGGAGTTTAAGACCAGCTTGGGCAACAAAGGAAGACCCCCATCTCTACAAAAATGAAAAAAATAAGGCGGGTGTGGTGGTGTACAACTGTAGTCCCCTCTACTAAGGCTGAGGCAGAAGAATTGCTTGAGCCCAGGAATTTGAGGCTACAGTGAGCTGTGACTGCACCACTGCACTCCAGCCTGGGTATCAGAGTGAGACGGCCTCAAAACAAAACAATTATGGTAGTGTTCATTAAATCTTGTGAATTTACATGAAACCCTTTTACACTTCAATCAACATCATAAAAGCAAAGGAACAGTTTTAAAGATGATACCTATTGTCATCACAAGAAATATTATCGAAGAAGGATTTAGTTTTGTCATAATAGCAATTAGGTCCAAGTGGATCTTCTTCATCAGCATTTCCTTCACTGTTTTGAGTATCAACTCCTGAGTCTCCTTTATCTTCACCATTTACAGGCTTCTCCTGTTTCTCAAGTTTATCTTCTAAGGACAAAGGTACATATCATAAAAGTCAAGACCGTTAATCTGAATTACATAAAATTAAACACCGAATCTGAGAAACATCCATAATTCACAGATCAAATAAAATTATTTTCTGAGTAGAAAAATCAGAGCTTACCTTTTAATTTAAGCTTATTATGAAATTCTCTGTCAATCTCTTCCTTGTTGAATTGCGCATTTGCACTTTCAAAGTCAAAGTCTTTCTCAAATTTCATTGGCCCATCTCGCCGAATACCAAATCTTCCCCTGCCACCCCGATGACCCCCACGCCCTCTCCTTGGAGCCGAAGGAGCACCTGGAGCTATGATAATAAAGAATATATACAAAGGACATTCAATATGTAATAGCTGGTTTAGCACAGATGTTGCTATTGTGCTTTTTAGATTCAACAGTCAACAACGGAAATGCTTACAGGTCTCTATATATTTTATTGTCTATTTGTATTTTTTAAATAAAATTAAAAATTAAGTTTCACTAAAATTTAGTATGTAGACTGAGAATACCTCACACAAAATTTCTAAACATTTGTATTTATGGAGTCCACACTCACATGTGTTACTGACAGAGTATACAGCCAGGCAAGTGTGGAGACTTCTGCACTAAATTAATGTATGCTCCTTGAGGGCAGGGGCTTTGTTTTCCTTACTGCAATATCCCCAACACCTGCAAACTGAAGTGCCAGACACATAGTTGGTTCTCAAAATATAGAAAGTCTTTGATGAAAAGAATAACAGAAAGCAAGATTTTTAGTAAGAAAAATAAACGAACACTAATTGGCACAAATTGCAAGAAAATAGGTGTTATTTCCACATCACAAATAAAAAAGACAAGTACCAATCCTTAGTGACTCCAAACACTTCCTACTCCATCTTTACTGTCTCCCTCTAGATGGTTCAACATTATTCAAGCCTTCTTGTATCTATATATTCTCTTCTCTATAACATAATAAGATTTCAGCTAATTATATGAGACATGATAAAGCAATACAAAGTAGCATAATTTATAGTGAAAAACGTGGGAACCCAAATATCCAACACAAGAGAAATGACTAACAAGAAAAAAAACCCAGGAAGAATATTTTATGTTAACTGAAAAATGTAGAGCAGAAAGCAGTATGAGTTTAATGATCACAACTGTGTGAAACGCTCCACACATACTGACAAGCATGAGAAGTGACTACAGGTTAACAGACAGGTTTGTGCTCTTTGCTGAGGTTTGGCAAGCTGCCTGGGTTTGAGACAACAAACCACAAAACCCCACAGCGGCATACCTAAACATACATATAGATAAGCAGGATGTTTAAAAATGCCTCAGCCACAAGCCAGAATTACACCATGATCCTTCTGTCTTAAAAAAAAAAAGTTTTAGGTATAGATGTCTGTCTGTAAAATCTACAAAAGAATATGGAAGACTATTCACTGTTCTGTTAATGAACCTCTGGTGGGGTGAGTTTTGAAGGGCAATGAAAGATAGTATAGCAATTATTTTATTTTGGGAGGGAAGCTCTCTCTTTTTTTGAATAAAAAAGCTGAAATAATGAGTCAAATTAAAAAAAAATTCTGTATTCCATGGCTTACAGAATATTTAAAAAACCACAAATGTAGAGGAGAGAGTATTTATACATCCAAAAAATATATCTAGGTTTCTAAAATTAAATGAAAGATCATTTTTCAATCATTTTCTAAATAAGGTGATTATATACTATCTTTTTAATTTGGAAGAGTTTTAAAATTACGATTTATTTTCCATTAATAAATTTGAAAATATTAATAAAATATTTGGGAATGTTATATATTACAAAACAGATACGTAGAGATGAGGTTTCACCATGTTGGGCAGGATGGTCTTGATCTCCTGACCTTATGATACACCCGCCTTGCCTCCCAAAGTGCTGGGATTACAGGCCTGAGACACCACACCCAGCCTCTGGGCTTAATTTTAATGAGAAAGCATTTCAAATTTGTAACATATAGATAATTTCATTCCCCAAAGCACAGAAAACAATGAAAACAATCAATTTTATAATCCTAACATGAAACTGACACAAAACATATAAGAACCACAAAAGTAGAACAATGTAAATATAAACGAAGAAATCCTACTAGCAGGAAATACTCAAGAATGTATTAAAAGATAACTGCCTACCACTAAGTAGACTTTTTTTCCAAAAAAGTAAAAATTTTAAAAATCTTTTCATTTTAAAGCAATAATTGACAAGAAAAAATGGAAAAACTAGTTCACAGTGGTCCTTTGTGCCCATCAACCAACTTCCCAAACTCCAGCAGCGACATCTTGTATACCTATGTTATATTATGAAAACCAACACAGGCATAATCTAATTAACTAAACTGCAGACCTTGCTCAGATGTCACTGCTGGAGTAGCCAGTTTGTACATGTACTCATTTTTTGGTATGTCTTTTATGCATAGTTCTATGATGTTCTACCATGTATAGATTTGCATAACCACCATCACAATCAAGATAAAGAACTGTTCTGTCACCACAGTGACACTCCCCTGTGCTCCTCCTTTACAGTCACAACCCCTGCCTTTCATTTGTTTATAGTAATTATGTATCATACATTTAAAATGTTTTCTCTCTTGAGGCATAGGATATGACTTTCAGATCCAAGAACTTACCTACTTGTCTCTTGTTATCGTTTCTGAGTTGCTCATTTTCTGGCCTTGAAACTTTGTGTACTTCAGCTATAGAAGAAGACATGTAAAGTGCCAAATCAACTCAGGGCACATGATCAAAAACATAATAAAAAACTTTAGAAATAAAAACAAACAAGCAAACGAACCAAAAAACCTAAAACAAAGCCTGTGCAATACCCAAAAATCTATACCCACAACACTAATATTTTGAATCAAATTTGAAAGACCAAACATTCTATCACGTTTGGTTTAATTTTCTGGGATCATTCATCTGAAGTAAACCCTTTTAATGAAAATAAAGTGAGTGGAAAACATTGATCAGTTAATTAAGGAACAGTAAACAGCTGAAATTTTACCTCTCCTGTGCTCCTGATTCTCTATTGCTTTTTGGCTGGTAGATGGCAAAGGCCTGGTTGATACAGGGCTCCTTCTCCCAACAGGTGCTGGAGCAGGTAAGTGGGCCGAGGCAGTCTGCACTGCTTGTTCCATGGTTGGGCTTTTTCTCAAAGGGTCTAACTGAGGGCTTGAACGACCTAAAATGTAACGAAAAGATAAGAAACTACCCTACTGGGGATTTCAAAATAATTTAGACCCTAAATAAAATTGTCTAGAGTTTTATTTCTACCAATCCAAATCATTAGCCAATTCAAATCAAATTTGAATTAATCCACTTAACAGACTAGATATTAAGACTGGTTAAACTTAGTGGGCTATCATTAGGTTAAAAATAGAAAAAATGAACAGCTTCGAAATAACTCCCTCCCCTTCACAATTTTATCTTTTATTTCTACCCAGTAGAATAGTTTACGTTAAAAAAAATTGCGGCCTCGTATGAGATTCCCTAGAAATATTATCAAAGGTCATGTTATAGTTAGGTCAAACACAGGCTTTCCCCAATGACAACCATAAGACTATGGTGACTTGTTTTAATTGTTCCTAGTACTTTCTGTAGATGACTAAAACGATACCTTTACATCTACAGGTATTATCTCCATTAAATTTCCTTTTTTTTTTTTTTCAGACGGAGTTTCACTCTTTTTACCCAGGCTGGAGTGCAATGGCGTGATCTCGGCTCACCGCAACCTCCGCCTCCTGGGTTCAGGCAATTCTCCTGCCTCAACCTCCCAAGTAGCTGGGATTACACGCACTTGCCACCATGCCCAGATAATTTTTTGTATTTTTAGTAGAGACGGGGTTTCACCATGTTGACCAGGATGGTCTCAACCCGTTGACCTCGTGACCCACCCACCTCGGCCTCCCAAAGTGCTGGGATTATAGGCGTGAGGCACCACGCCCACCCGGCCTATCTCCATTAAATTTCTATTATAAGAAAGTAGGTTGGGGGTCCAAAGTGGCTCCCGCCGGAGGTCATGGCGCTCGTGAAGGCGAGGTCATCAGTTCAAGGCTAACCTGAGCAACCTCATAAGCTCAAACTGATTGGAAAAAAAAAAAAAAAAAAAAAAAGTAGGCCATTGGTGGCTCAAGCCTGTAATCTCAGCACTTTAGGAGGTCGAGGTGGGTGGATCACGAGGTCAAGAGGTCAAGATCATCCTGGTCAACATGGTGAAACCCCGTCTCTACTAAAAATACAAAAAACTAGCTGGGCATGGTGGTGCGTGCCTGTAATCCCAGCTACTTGGGAGGTTGAGGCAGGAGAATTGCCTGAACCCAGGAGGCGGAGATTGCGGTGAGCCGAGATCGCGCCATTGCACTCCAGCCTGGGCAACAAGAGCGAAACTCCTTCTCAAAAAAAAAAAAGAAAGAAAGTAAAGGGCTGGGCATGGTGGCACTCGCCTATAATCCTAGCTCTTTGGAAGGCTGAAACAGGAGGATCGCTTGAGCCCAGGATTTCAAGACCAGCTTGAGCAACATGGCGAACCTGTCTCTATGGAAAATATAAAAATTAGCCAGGCATGGTGGCGCATGCCTGTGTTCCCAGCTACTCAGGAGGTTGAGATGGGATAGCTTGAATTCGGGAGGCAGAGGCTATAGTGAGCTGAGATCGTGCCATTGCACTCTAGCCTAGGTGACAGCGAGGCCGCGTCTCAAAAAGTAAAAAACTACAAGTTAGGTAGGTGAAGTTCTTTAATGCCTTAGGGGCTTGGGTAATTAAACATAATAACTAGAAGGCCAGCAAAAAAAAAAAAAAAATCCTTCAGATAATTACACAATAGCCATACTCATTCGTTGGGCGTGGTTGCTCACACCTATAATCCCAGCACTTTGGAAGGCCGGGGTGGATGGCTCACTTGAGCTCAGGAGTTCAAGACCAGCCTGGGCAACGTGACAAAGCCTGTCTCTACAAAAAATGCAAATATTAGCCAGGCGTGGTGGCATATGCCTATAACCCCAGCTATTTAGAAGGCTGAAGTGAGTGAATTACTTGAGCCCGGGAGGCAGAGGGCAGAGTTGCAGTGACCTGAGATCGATCCACTGCATCTAGCCTGGGCGACAAAGCTAGACCTGGTCTCAACTTAAAAAAGGGGGGGGGGGGGAGGGGCAGGGAGCAAAACCAAAAATGGGGTTTGTACTTATAAATTATATTTTTCCTTTCATGAGGTCAGAGCCTAGTCACAGCATGAACTGAAGAATGTAACATCGGGTGCTCTCATGCTTTCTCTTCTGGTTATGTTTGCTATAAATCTCTGCTCAGGTATCCACATCTCATAATTATTCCAAAATATAATGTTTTGCTTAAAAAAATGCTAATTTTAAGCAACAAATCCCCAAACATGCTGCAAATGTTACTGTCTATCTGTGCATGTTTGCAGGCCTCAAACAACTGATGAGTGCTGACAATGCATTATTATGTTCCCAGATAATTCAGGGATAATTTATTAGTAACATCTCCTCACTTTAGGATTATCTAAAGTATGCAATTACAAATATGCAATACCATTTCAGTCATTAATGGCAAAGTTATCCAAATAAACGATCATTAAACTACTTAAAAATTAAGTTACCACTAATAGAAGCAATACAATTTTTCCATTGGATTATAATGGGAAATCATGGCTTATGTAAGTTTTGGCCTATGAAAAAACATTTTATAATTACTTATAAAACATTTTGTTTTGTTTCTGTCTTTTAAAGACAGAGTAGGGTCTTGCTCTGTTGCCCAGGGTGGAGTGCAGTGGCACAATCACAGCTCACTGTAACTTCTACCTCCTGGGCTCCATCGATCTTCCTGCCTCAGTCTCTTGAGTAGCTAGGACTACAGGCATGTGCTACCACTCCCCGATATTTGTTTTATTTCATATGTCTTCTTGAAAAAGCCTACTGCTATAGTTATGGTACTACATAAATCATCTTATAAGTTTATAAAACTATTTTATCAAGGCTTTTGAGAAAAGATCCTGTGACTTACAAGTTCTACGGAAGTACAAGCAATGGGCAATCAGAGTGAGTACAGAAACACTTGCTGTGTACTTAAAAACCCTTTTTACTATTAAAGCCTATTAATCATCATGATGCCAGTTTTGTTATAAATAGGAAAATATAGGTGATACTGTGATACTGGACACATTATTAGGAATAAATCCAGAAGTGATTCTGCATAATAAAGACACACCCCTTGAGCTATCTTCACAATCTTATCACACTTAAAATTCTAGGAATTTTAATTTCACATAATTCAGAAACTTTAGTTGATAAATTTTACATGCAAACTCCTAGGTCTTCTTTGTCATAGCTTTATGTAAATACACTTCCTTCTTTTAATAAACATATACTTTGGAACAGCCAGCTTTCTCTCCACTAATTTAAAAATAATACCTATATCATCTACTAAATTCTTTCAAAACGAGGTCTTGCTCTAGTTGCCTAGGCTAGTGTGCAGTCCTGCGATCACTGCTTGCTGCTGCCTTGAATGCCCGGGCTCAAGCAATACTCTAGCCTCAGCCTCTTGAGTAGCTGAGACTATAGGTACACACCATCATGCCCAGCTAAATTTTTTACTTTTTTAGAGACAGGGTCTTGCTATGTTGCCCAAGCTAGTCTCAAACTCCTGGCTTCAAGTGATCCTTCTACCTTGACCTTGCAAAATGTTGGGGTTATAGTCACTGTACCCAGGATAAATTCTTATTTATACTTGGATCTTTTCAGACTGCCTATTGCCTTCTGTTCATCTCTTATTTTATGTACTGCATTACTACATTTCATTATCAAGCCAGTAAGCCCACTATTTTTATTTTTCAAATATGTCTAGCTATCTTCCATGTTTGTTTTAAAGATAATCTATTTTACTAAGTTCTCTTACTATTCATTCCATTTGCATTGATTTTAATTAATTTGCAATAAATCTGTTAACTATAAGAAGTGTTCTCAATATTGAATCTTTTGTTTTCTTTTTTTGGAGACAGGGTCTTGATTCTGTCGCCCAGGCTGGAGTGAGGTAGTACATAAATGCAATACTGTAGCCTCAGACTCCTGGCTCAAGTGATGATCCTCCTGCCTCAGCTAGGAGGATAGGACCTAGGTATCCTTGAGTAGCTAGGACCACAGGTTTGCACCATCATACTCTGCTTGGTTTTTAAATTTCTAGGTAGAGATGAAGTCTCACTATGTCGCCTAGGCTGGTCTCAAACTCCTGGGGCTCAAATGATCATCCTGGCTCATCCTCCCTAAGTGCTGGTACTCTTCTTGTTCTTTTATCTAGGAATATGATATGCCTCTTCCATTATATGTGACTTTTATGTCCCTCTATTACATTATTCATCGTAGAAGATGGTCATATTTCTTAGTATTACCAATTTATTTCTTATAGATTTCATACATAATTTGTATTTTGGGTTATTGTAATCATCTTTTATCTCCATTACATACTCAATGGGTCAATGGATTAGACTTTAGGACTACTGATTTTTTTTTTTTGTTGAGAAGGAATCTTGCTCTCTTGCCCAGATTAGAGTGCAGTGGTGTGATCTCGGCTCACTGCAACCTTGGCCTCCCAGGTTCAAGCAATTCTCCTGCGTTAGCCTCCTGAGTAGCTGGAATTACAGGCACTTGCCACCATGCCTGGCTAATTTTTCTATTTTTAGTAGAGACAAGGTTTCACTGTGCTGGCCAGGATGGTCTCGAACTCCTGACCTTCTGATCCACCCTCCTTGGCCTCCCAAAATGCTAGGATTACAGATGTGAGCCACAGTGTGGCCAACTGTGTGTGTGTGTGTGTGTGTGTGTGTGTGTGTGTGTGTTTGAGACAGTTTCTCTCTGTCACCCAGGCTGGAAAGCAGCAGCACAATCTCAGCTCACTGCAACCTCTGCTTCCTGGGTTCAAGAGATTCTCTCACCTCAGCCTCCAGAGTAGCTGGGATTACAGATACATGACACCATGCCCGGTTAATTTTTGTATTTTTAGTACAGATGGGGTTTCACCATGTTGGCTGGCCAAGCTGTTCTCCTACTCTTAACCTCAGGTGATCTACCTGTCTTGGCCTCCCAAAGTGCTGGGATTGCAGGCATGAGCCACAGCGCCTGGCCAGGACTACTGACTTTTGTATATTTAATTTACATTTTGCCTTTGCCTAATTTAAGTTCCTTATTAGTTCTCATTTTTTATAAATAATGTTAATTTCCATATTTATGCTTCTTCCTTCTTTTTCATGTGTTCCTGATTTAACTAAAACTTACAGAGTAAGCTGGGCACCGTGGCTCAATGCTCACAATCCCAGCACTTTGGGAGGCCAGGGGGCAGGGCACCGCAGGAGGTGGATTGCTTGAGCCCAGGAGTTCCAGACTAGCCTTGGCAACATCGTGAAACCATGTCACTACAGAACTACAAAAACTAGCTGGTGGTGCTTGCCTGTGATCTAAGTTAATTGGGAGGATGGCTTGAGCCCAGGAGGTGGAGGCTGCAGTGAGCCATGATCACACCATTGCATTCCAGTCCGGGAGAGAGAGCAGGACCATATCTCAAAAACAATCTTTGGAATGTTTAAAAATTAAGCAAATAGGCTGGCTGTGGTGGCTCACACCTGTAATCCCAGCACTTTGGGTGGCCAAGGTGGGTGGCTCACTTGTGGTCAGGAGTTTGAGACCAGCCTGGCCAATATGGCGAAACCCCATCTCTATCAAAAGTACAAAAAATTAGCTGGGCGTGGTGGCACGCACCTGTCATCCCAGCTACTCAGGAGGCTGAGACAGGAGAATCACTTGCACCCAGGAGGTGGAGGCTGCAGTGAGCCGAGACTGTGCCACTGCACTCCAGCCTGGGTGACAGAGCAAGATTCCATCTTAAAAAAAAAAAAAAAAAAGAAAAAGAAAGAAAGAAAGAAAAAAAAAATAAGCTAATCAACATGAGTAGCTGTATGAACTAATTCAAAACATCTTAAGTGAAATATGTGATTCTGTTTAGCATTGAATTTTTACTCTTAATGACTTTTTAAAATATTATCTTGTGACTATAGATCTTTCTGAAACGACTTAACATTGCTTTACTTAAAACAAAGAACCGAGAACGATCCAAGATGGCCGATCGCTAACATCCTGGGATTGCAGCTCTCAGGGAAGGCGCGGAGAACTAGAGGACGCCACACTTTCAGACAAATTCTGGTCCCTCACGGAGCAGAAGATCCCCCAGTGGAGGAAACACACGGGTGGCCAGCGCGACTCTCGTGGCCGGTGCAGCGGCTGCGACGGCACCTCCGCGGGGCAGCGCTCGGCGCAGAGTAAACGGGACCGGTTCCCCTTCTGACTGAGGTTTGGAGCCCCGGGAAGGTAGAGTCCCCTACTACGGACACAAGAAGGAAGCCAGACAGGAGAATCCTGGGCAGAAAAGCACCATCAGTTTTAACGCCGCTGCTCTGGCCCTGGGAACTAACAACCTGGACATCCATTCAAGAGACCTAATCTGAAAGTTGGTAATTTCAAAGACGACAGGAGGATAAATTTACAATGACAGGAAGAAACCAGCGTAAAAAAGCTGAGAATACTCAAAGTCAGAACGCCTCTCCCTCCAAAGATGATCACAGTTCCACATCAACAATGGAACAAGGCTTGATGGAGAAGGAGCGCATCCTGATGACAGAATCACTCTTCAAGGAATGGATAATAACAAACTTCCGTGAGTTAAAAGACCATGTTGTAGCCCAACGTAAAGAAACTAGGAACTTTGGGGGTCCAAAGTGGCTCCCGCCGGAGGTCATGGCGCTCGCGAAGGTGAGGTCATCAGTTCAAGGCTAACCTCATAAGCTCAAACTGATTGGCAAAAAAAAATAAATAAATAAATAAACTAGGAACTTTGAAAAAAGGTTTGATGAAATCCTATTGAGAATAGACAACTTAGAGAGGAGTATGAGTGAATTAATGGAACTGAAGAATACAATACAGGAACTCCGAGAAGTATGCACAGGTTTAAACACTCGAATTGTTCAAGCAGAAGAAGGGATATCAGAGGTCAAAGTCCAACTTAATGAAATAAAACGTGAAGAAAAGATTAGAGAAAAAAGGATAAAAAGGAATGAGCAAAGTCTCCAAGAAATGTGGGACTATGTGAAAAGACCAAATTTACGTTTGATCGGTGTACCTGAATGCGACGGAGAGAATGAATCCAAGCTGGAAAATACCCTTCAGGAAATTATTCAGGAAAATTTTCCTAAACTAGCAAAGCAGGTCAACATTCAACCCCTGGTAATACAGAGAACACCACAAAGATATTCCTCAAGAAGAGCAACCCCAAGGCACATAATCGTTAGATTCACCAGGGTTGAAACGAAGGAGAAAATACTAAGGGCAGCCAGAGAGAAAGGTCAGGTTACCCACAAAGGCAAGCCTATCAGACTTATAGCAGATCTCTCAGCAGAAACTCTAAAGCCAGAAGAGAGTGGGGGCCAATATTCAACATCCTCAAAGAACAGAACCTTCAGCCCAGAATTTCATATCCAGCCAAACTAAGCTTCACAATTGAAGGAAAAATAAAATCTTTTATGAACAAGCAAGAACTCAGAGATTTTATTACCACCAGGCCTGCTTTACAAGAGCTTCTGAAAGAAGCATTACACACAGAAAGAAACAACCAGTATTAGCCTTTCTAAAAATACACCAAAAAGTAAAGAGCACCAACATAAAGAAGAATTTACACCAACGAATGGATAAAACAGCCAGTCAACATCAAATGGCAGTAACCCTAAATTTAAATTGACTAAATCCCCCAATCAAAAGACACAGCCAAAACCCAATGGCATGTTACATCCAGACCTGTTTCACATGCAAGGATACACAAAGACTCAAAGGGATGGAGAAAGATTTACCAACCAAATGGAGAGCAAAAATAAATAATAAATAAATAAAAAGCAGGAGTTGCAATTCTCGTATCGGATAAAATAGATTTTAAAGCAACAAAGATATAGTGGTAAAAGGATCAATGCAACAACAAGAGCTAACGATCCTAACACCCAGATAGAAGACTTAGATTCAATGAGACAGAAAATTAATAAGGATATCAAGGACTCGAACTCAGATCTGGAACAAGTAAACTTAATAAATATTTATAGAGCTTTCCACTTCAAATACATAAAATATACATTCTTGTCAATACCACATCACACCTACCCATAAGCTTAAATGAAACATTGATTGGCCATCATTAATACCCAATTTTTTTCAAAATAAAGCAATATTTCCATTTACTCTCCGTTTCTCTTCCTCTTTCTTCCTCTCCTTTACTTATTATTTTTTTTTTCTTTCCTTCTCTCAAAAAAAAAAAAAAGAAATCAACTTGTAAACCTCTAGATCCAGGTTGGCAATGTCTCTCTCATTGCTTGATTTCCTTCCTTCTCTTCCCTCCCTCCCTCCCTCCCCTCCTCCCTCCCTCCCTGCTTCCTCCCTCCCTCCCTTCCTTCCTTCCTTCTTCCCTACCGTCCTTCTTCCCTCCCTTCCTGCCTTCCTCCCCCCCCCAAAAATAAATAAAACAAAGAACCATTCATATAAAGCAATGAGCCAAAAATATTCACATTAGCAGTAGATAAAAATAGATAAGGAAAAGCCGAGCATGGTGGCACAAGTCTATAGCCCAAACTACTAGAGAAACTAAGGCAGGAGGCCTGTTTGAGGCCAGATGTCCAAGGTTGCAGTGCACTATGATCACACCTGTGAATAGCCACTGAATTTCAGTCTCGGCAGCAAAGTGAGACCCCATCTCTTGAAAAAAAAAAAAAGAAGAAGAAGAGAAGGGCTGGGAGCAATGGCTCATACCTGTAATCCCAGCACTTTGGGAAGGCCAAGGCAGATGGATCTCACGAGCCCAGGAGTTCGAGACAAGCCTGGGCAATATAGTGAGACCTCATCTCTAATAAATAAGTAAATAAAAGAAAGAAAAATGTTAAGAAAAAAGAAAGAAAAAGATTAAAAGGTATGGAATCTTGTAACCATTTAAAATTATGAGACTGGCTGGCTGTAAAACAGAATTTTTAGAAATGAAGCAATCCTTTAAGAAGATTATTAAAATACAAATCCTCAGGCTCCAGGGATTCTGATGTGTAAGTCTCAGGATTTAAATTTTTAAGAAGCACCCCAGATGATTCAGTTGTAGGTGGCCTACATTGAGAACCACTACTCTCCATCCTGTGAGGATGTTAGGGGAAATGTAACAGCACAATACACAGTTTTTTTTCAGATGGTATTTCCAATTCATCTTGGATAGCTCAACTTTAATGGTGAATCCGAGCCTAATTTGATATATTTAAGTGTTACATACAAGTTATATAATTGCTTTGCAAAAAAAAAGTCCAATTTAGAGAATGCTCAGCATTTCAGTTTTATGATCTAAGAATTGTAATAAGGCTAAATAGTGGGAGTCATTCAATAGTATATTCATTGCAATACAGCAATTGGGAAAAAAATAAGAACCAAATAGAAATTATACACGTGATTTACAAGCTGCAAAAGCTCTGACATTTAGAAAAAGATAAAAACCACTCTAGAAGTTTACAATAAAAACATTTTCATTCTAAAAATATTTTCATTCAGCTTACCTTGAGATAACTGTGTTTTTAGGGATCTTGTATCCTGTGTAAAGGCAGAACCAACCGCACTACTTTGGGGTAAGGTACCACTGTTTGATGTCTCTGTTCCAAAGGATGTCAAAGAGCTTCCAGCTTAAAGAGATTTTTTTAAATGATAAAAAATTAAAAAAAACATTTTACGTTTTTCAATGATACAAAGTAACGTAGCATTTTACTGATGGTAACTGTCTACGTCTCCCCCAACACATGTACAAATTAATAACCTTGGAAATTAAAGTGTATTGAATAATAGTTTGGGAATTCTATGGCAATATGGGGGGGTGGGGAGCCAATATACTGTCCACTATCCTTGGATGCAAACCATGTTTATAACACATGAAGTACTATCCCTAGGCAGTTATGCAGATGGGACAGCAAGGACCCATATCAGCTAGAGAAGTAGCAGAAATAGTGCATTCTACACCAACATTAAGGTTTAATGATTCTAAGTATCTGCACAAATAGCCACATCAGCAGAGAGGTTTACGAGGAGCTTTTTCAGCATTTCCAAGGCAACAGACAATGGTCTCTGGTTCCAACGCTTTCCCTTAAGATGGGACTGCGAGGCTGCATTCTGCCTAAAGCAGCTGCAATAAGTTCTGGCAATATGAGTAACAAAGTCCCTAGAAAGGGCCCAATTCTCTGCCATACTGGGTTGTATCAAATTTCTTCTCTAAGTTTCTGCAGTGCTTATGCATCATTCACTTTTGATATACTGTGCTCTCTCTCTCTCTAGTATTTCATGAATGCAGGTTTTTACTGCATTTCAACAGCACCTCTCTCTTCCATAACCTCTAAATCCAACCTAAAGATGGTAGAGTGATTTTTTACAAAATACAAACGTAATCACACTACTACCGTGATTTAGACCTTCTGATGGCTCCCACTGTCTTCAAGATAAAAGTTCAAACTATTTACTTCAGTTAATAAAACCTACCTCTTCTCTCATTTTCTGTATTTTCCCCAGCCTAGCCCACAGCAGAAGTTTACCCTTCTGCTCTTAAAACACATGAAGATTACAATCATGCCCCTTGCAATCTGCTCATTTCCAGGCTGGTCAACTCCAGTTCCTTCAAACATTACTTACTTTACATGGTCTTTATGACACTACCCCCCACTTCCTTTCTTGGACCCTGAATTTAGTGAATTCTATTTGTTCTTATCCCTCTTAAAATGTGGCTTCAGAAAACAGCACAGCATCTCAGACAATGGGAGCCACTGAGACTACCTTGAGGGTGCAATCCAGTGTGGCTGCAGCTCCAGTAGCTAACACAAGTTCCCACAATATCCCGGAAATGCGGGGACTGGTGCTTTCAAGAATTCTGTGGGAAGTTGAACCCATCCAATTATTTCTAGTATTCCTGGGCAATGACCAAGACATCAGTCACACTGATGTATATTTGTATCTCTGTGCTGCTCTGTGCTTCCTCACCTGGCTTGGCCTCCCATTGCTTGTCCTCTGGATTACACATTCAATGATTAAAGCAAACCTCTTCTGTGATTTCCTGATCATGCCATACACCCCTCCCTCTATCCCAATTCTACTACCAATTTATGTCAACAATCTATTCCAAATTATTTTAAATTTATAGTTTAAACCAGGGGTCAAGGTTTATTTCTTTCCACAGATAACCAGCTGCTGCAACACCCCTTGTTAAAACAATGTCTTCTCTCACCACTGAACAGTCTTGGTACTCTGTTGTATTTGAGTGGGTCTATTTCTGGATTCTCTATTCTTTATTCCTTGTCTGTTAATGTGGTGAGTTACAGCTGATTTCCAAATGTTGCACCTTTGCAGTCCTGAGATAAATCTTTGTCATTATGTACAATCCTTCTTCTGAATTGCTGGCTTCTGCTTTTAATAGTTAAACATTATTACATTTATATACATGAGAGATAGTGATCTATAATTTTCTTGTAGCAATCTAGTCATAGTTGGTATTTTAGTTATTTTGCCTTGCTTATAGGATCAGTAAATACTTCCTCTTTCTCTATTTTCTAAGTTTTCTTTTTAAGAGACAGGGTTTTGCTCTATTGCCCAGGCTGGAGTACAGTGGCACCATCATGGCTCACTGCAACCTTGAACTCCTGGACTTAAGAAATCCTCCTGCCTCAGTCTTCCGAGCAACTGGGACCACAGGCATGCACCATGGTGCATAGCTGTCTGAAAGAGTTTGTGTAAGATTAGTAAAAATTATTTCTTCCCTAAATGTTTGGTAGAATATAACAGTAAACAGTCTAGAATTTTCTTTGTGGGTGATTTTAAATTACTGTTTCAATTTCATTAGCAGATACAGAGATATTGAGATTTTATTTCCTCTTGTCTTAGTTTACTATTGTCCACTTCATCCAAACTATCATCACATTTACTGACATAAAGCGGTTTATATATTCCCATATTATCCTTTTAAGATCTGTATGAATGTCTACTCTTTCATTCCTGATATTGGCAACTTGCTTGGTTCTTCTTTCCTTAATCAGTTTTGTTAGTGGCTTATCAATCTTTTATATATATATATGTAAAACCCACCAAAAACAAACTCTGGGCTTTGCTGATGTATAATCTATTTCTATTTCACTGATTTCTGCTCTCATCTTTTTTTCTTCTTCCCCATCTATTACTTTTGGAACAATTTTTTTTTTCATTTTTTTTCCCTAGCTGTCCCCCCACATCCCTGTCAACTTTTTTAGAGATATGGTCTAACTCTGTCACCAAGGCTGGAATGCAGTGGCATGATCACAGTTCACTGAAGCACTGAACTGCTGGGCTCAAGCAATCCTCCCACCTCAGCCTCCCAAGTAGTTAGGACTACCGGCACTCACTACCATGCCCAGCTAACCATTTTTCCTAAGCCTTTTTTTTGAGATAGCATCTCACTCTGTTGCCTAGGCTGGAGTTCAATGGCTCGATCTCGGCTCACTGCAACCTCCACTTCCCAGGTTCAAGTGTTTCTCCCACCTCAGCCTCCCGAGTAGCTGGGATTACAAGCACCCACCATCATACCCGGCTAATTTTTGTAGACATAGGGCTTCACCATGTTGGCCAGGCTGATCCTAACTCCTGACCTTAGATAATCTGCCAGCCTAAGCCTCCCAAAGTGCTGGGATTACAGGCATGATACACCATGCCTGGCCCTTTCCTAGCCCTTTTTTTTTTTTTTTTTGAGATTGAGTCTCGCTCTGTCGCTTGGGCTAGAGTGCAATGGCGAAATCTCGGCTCAATGCAACCTCCACTTCCTAGGTTCAGGTGATTCTCCTGCCTCAGCCTCCTGAGTAGCTGGGATTACAGGCACATAGCACCACACCCAGCTAATTTAAATTTTTTTTTTTTTTTTTTTAGTAGAGACAGGGTTTCACCATGTTGGTTGGGCTGTGGTCTTCAACTCCTCATCTCGTGATCCACCTGTTTCGGCCTCCCAAAATGCTGGGATTAGAGTGTAAGCCACCCGGCCTAGCTTCCTGGCTTCTTAAACTAGTAGCTTAGAGCACTCATTTTAAAAATTCTTATTTTTTTTTTCTTTTTATTTGAGACAGAGTCTCTCTCACTCTGTTACTCAGGTTGCACTGCAGTGGTGCCATCTTGGCTCACTGCAACCTCCACATCCCTAGCTCAAGTAATTCTCCTGCCTCAGCCTGCTGAATAGCTGGGACTACGGGCACACGCCAATATGCCTGACTAATTTTTGTATTTTTAGTAGAGACAGGTTTTCACTACATTGGCCAGGCTGGTCTCGAACTCCTGACCTCAAGTGATCCACCCACCTCAGCCTCCCAAAGTGCTGGGGTCATGGGCGTGAGCCACTGCACCTGGACAAAAATTCTTATTTTCTAATATATGTATTTAAAGCTACAAAAATTCTCCTTAACACTGTTTTAGCTCCACCTACCAACTTTCTGGTCATTAAATTAAAAATATACATTTTTTTTTCTTTTTTAGAGACAGGGTTTCACCATGTTGGCCAGGCTGGTCTTGAACTCCTGACCTTAGGTAATCCACCCGCCTTGAGCTCTCAAAGTGTTGGGATTACAGGCGTGAGCCACTGCATCCAGCAAAAAAAAAAAAAAAATTATTTATTTTATTTTTTGAGATGGAGTTTAGCTGTTGTTACCCAGACTAGAGTGCAATGGCACGATCTCGGCTCACCGCAACCTCCGCCTTCTGGGTTCAGGCAATTCAGCCTCCTAAGTAGCTGGGACTACAGGTGCGCACCACCATGCCCAGATAATTTTTGTATTTTTAGTAGAGACGGGGTTTCACCTTGTTGACCAGGATGGTCTCAATCTCTTGACCTCGTGATCCACCCGCCTTGGCCTCCCAAAGTGCTGGGATTATAGGTGTGAGCCACTGTGCCCGGCCTAATTTATTATTATTATTTTTAAAGAGACATGGTCTAGCTCTGTTACCTTTCCTGAAGTGCAGCAGCAGAATCACAGCTCACTGCAGTCTTGAATTCCTGGGCTCAATCAATTCTCCACCTCAGCCTTCTGAGTGCTAGGACTACAGATATGTACAACCATGCCCAGCTAATTAAAAAATTTTTTCTGTAGAGACAGGACTCTCTATGTTCCCCAGGCTGGTCTTGAACTCCTGGCCTCAAGTGATCCTCCCACTTTGGCCTCCCAACGTGCTGAGATTACAGGTGTATGCTATCGTGCCTGGCCCAGATTAAAAATATTCTCTAATTTCCTTTGTAAATTCTTCTCTGATCTATTAGTGATTAACAAGTTTACTTGATTTGGGGATTTTTCAAGTTACCTTTATTAATTCCAAGTTTAATTATTTTGTGGTTTAAGAAGATATCATGTATGATCTTAATCCTTTTGGAATTTAGTGTGACTTATTTTATGACGCAGTATTTGGTCTATATTGTTGAGCAGTCCATGTCTACTTAAAACAATATTCTGCAATTTTTGGGTATACTGTTTTATAAAAGCTACACATTTAGGACTGTTGTATTTTCCTGATGAATTGATCTTCATCTTTATGAAGGACCCCCCCTTTATCTCTGTTAGTATTCCTGATCTTTAAGATGCTTTGTCTGACATTAATGTATGTCACACAGTCTTCCTGTTATTGGTGTTTTTGTGGTATACCCTTTTCTATTCTTTTACTTTCAGTGCATCTCTTGTAAACATAATACAGTCGAGCCATTTTTAAAAAATTGATTCAGTCTGATACTCTCTACCTTTTAACTGGAATGTTTCATTCCTTCACATTTTACCAAAGCAGATGTTTAATAATCTTTTTTTTTGAGACATGGTCTCGCTGTCACCCAGGATGGAGTGCAGTGACGTGATCCTGACTCACTGCAACCTCTACCTCCTGGGTTCCAGCAATTCTCCTGCCTCAGCCTCCCAAGTAGCTGGGATTACAGGTGTGTGCCACCATGTCTGACTCATTTTTTTGTATTTTAGTAGAGACAGGTTTTCACCATGATGGCCAGGCTGATCTCAAACTCCTGACCTCACTGACCTCAAATGGTTCACCCTGCTCAGCTTCCCAAAGTGCTGGGATTACAGGTGTGAGCCACTGTGCCTGGCCTGATCGTAACAATCCTTAGTCTAATATCCATAATGCTTGAAACACCCTCCTGGCTTTATGCTACCCATGAAGTTCATAAGCATGCTTTCAAGGCTTCATCACTCAGTAATTAAAAATTAGCATGGAGAACCATGCTCCAATATGGTTTGGCTATTTAACCAACTAAAATGTACCCATTGATGGTTTACTCGGCCAATATTCCTCCATCTGGCACATAAGATTATGAGACTTAAACAGCATGCCATGACATATTAGTAAACCTGTCTCAATTATTTGAGAACAACAAGCTGACCCTATCAACTTGAGTAAACATAACAGAAAAAATATCTAATTGCTCCCTATTTGTTCATTTTAATCCTTGCTACAGAATTATGTTAGATAGTTGGTCAATCTGTACCTTTCACTGTTTCTACAAATTCTTTTTTCTAACAGCAGCAGTAAGCTCTTACTTTTCTACTGTTCAATGGTTAACATAGGGAAATACTGTTTTGATGCTTCATTTATTGTGAGATGTTTAATTTTTCCTAAACGTTCAGAAATTAGGCCAGTAATGATCTAATCTCTTGCACTTAAGAATTATTTTCACATAAGCTTTAAAAAAAAGTGCTTTAATTCTACCTGTATATTATTCTTTTCAACGTATGACTATATATTCTTCACAGACTTGCCAAAAGAGTATGTATATAATCAAACTTTGAGTTTTTGCCAAACTGATAACGAGAAATGGTGTCTTAGCGTAGATTTAATTTGTACATTTTTCACTACAAGCAAGATGATTTTTTCTTTTTCTTTTCTTTTTTTTTTGAGACACAGCCTGGCTCTGTTTCCCAAGCTGGAGTGCAATGGTGTGATCTTGGTTCACTGCAACCTCTATCTCTCAGGCTCAAACAATCATCCTCCCACCTCAGCCTCTGGAGCAGCTGGGATTACAGGAGTTTGCCACCACACTTGCCCCCCCACCCCTTTTTTTGGTAGAGACAGGGTTTAGCCAGGCTGATCTCCAACTCCCGAGCTCAAGCAATGCTCCCCAACAGCCTCCCAAAGTGCCGGAGTCTTTGCATTCTAGCCTGGGCAACAGAGCAAGACTGTCTCAAAACCAAACAAACAAACAAACACACACCTATTATAACCAGTAATAAGGGTGGGCATGGTGGTTCCCAACACTTTGGGAGGCTGAGGCAGGCAGTTTGAGATCAGCCTGGATAATATGCTGAGCCGCTGTCTCTACAAAAAAACACAAAAATTAGCCAGGCATGAGGGCATGTGCCTATAGTCACAGCTGCCAGGCTGGTTGAGGTGGAAGGATTGCTTGAGCACAGGAGGTCTAGGCTGCAGTGAGCTGTCGTTGTGCCACTGTACTCCAGCCTGGTGACAGAATGAGACCCTGTCTCAAAATACATAAATAAGTAAATAGATAAAAATTAAAAGCAAAAGTAATAACACATGACAATGTAAACATAAAAATTTTCTCATCAAATAGCAATAGCGTGACCTGATTCATTTTCAATTTCTTTTAAAATCAGAATACTAGGGACCAAAAATGAAAAAAGGCCTAGCTTAAAATCTGGTTATTACATTGAAATTAGAAAATGGCAATTTATCTACCACTCCTTCTACTTATTAGCAGGTATTTTTTGTGTGAAAAAAGTATTATCTTTTCCTTCTTTTTTTCAAGGGGCCCTTGTTCCTTTTAGTGGGGAGTGGTATTTAGAAACTAAGCGCTGAGAGTACATGTGCTCTTTGCTACTGGGTCTCCATTGTTTCTAGGTTCTTTCAGAGCTAGGAAATAACTAGTTTTTTTTTTTAAAAAATGGATTCATACTCATACCATCTATTTATACTCAGCATCACAGGGTTCTTTCTCATCCCATATTTCTATTTCCCTTCTCCATGGTAAGAACACTATTTCCTAACCTAAGTATTTTATGCATTTGCCCCATCCTATAATACATACAAAACATAAGAATTAACAACACCTGGCTGAGCGCAGTGGCTCATGCCTATAATCCCAAAAGGAGGCCAAGGCAGGTGGATCACTTAAGCTCACAAGACCAGCCTGGGCAACAAGGGAAAACCCTGTCTCTACAAAAAATACAAAAATCTAGCTGGAAGTGGTGATGCATGCCAGCTACTCAGAAGGCTGAGGTGGAAGGATGGTTTGAGCCTGGGAGACAGAGCCAGATCTTATCTCGGAGTGGGGGAGAGGGAACAACAACAACAAAAAACACAAACCACAACACCAATAATACAAATTGAAGTCAAGTTTTGTTTTCTTTTGAGATGGAGTTTCACTCCTGTTGCCCAGGCTAGAGTGCAATGGCGCGATCTTGGCTCACTGCAACCTCCGCCTCCTAGGTTCAAGTGATTCTCCTGCTTCAGCCTCCAGAGTAGCTGGGATTATAGGCATGTACCACCACACCCAGCTAACTTTGTATTTTTTGTAGAGATGGGGTTTCTCCATGTTGGTCAGGCTGATTTCAAACTCCTGACCTCAGGTGATCCGTCCACCTCGGCCTCCCAAAGTGCTGGGATTACATGTGTGAGCCACTGTGCCTGGCCAAGTGTTCTTAATAGTTAATAGTTCTATTTGTTGTTAGTATATACTACTAAGAACGTAAAAGTTATCTGAATTATTTTTTCCCCTATGTGGTTATATTATCAATTTTATATGTAATAGCATCTGTGCTTTCTGTTTGTATTTGTTCAGTTTTAGTTTGCTTTTTTTGGTCATTCTTTATTATTTTGTGAATAAGTAAAACATTTAAATACTTAAGTCACATTTGTATAAAAAGTATACTCAGAGGAAAGAATAATAATTTTAACAAAACTTGTTAGCATATTAATGAGTTTCAAGATACATCTGAAACTACATTTGTGGTACAGTCAAACAGAGTTAGCTGATAAATAATTATTTCAATGAAATTTTGAAAGATTAGGGACAAAAAGTTGAGATTTAAAACTGTTCTTTACCATGGAATAAAGTGTACTGAAATGCTAAAATGTACAGCTATTAAAAAAAACAATACTGAGCTAATCTGATTATATCCAGATTTTGCACTCAACAGCCCTTGACCTCTCCAGCCATAAGTAAGACTGTCATTCGCCCAGCCCTGCTGTACATTCTTGTTATAGCTTTGTTTCAAAACCACTGTTAGAGAGACAAAACCAAGCCCTCAATCATGCTACATGTATCTTTATGTGTGCATGTCTTATACAAATTTAAAATGTATTAGGCTGGGCACGGTAGCTCACGCCTGTAACGTCAGCATTTTGGAAGGCTGAGGTGGGTGGATCACTTGAGGTCAGGAGTTTGAGACCAGCTTGGCCAACATGGTGAAATGCCATCTCTACTAAAAATACAAAAAAATTAGCTGGGTGTGGTGGTGCATATGTGTAATCTCAGCTACTCAGGAGGCTGAGGCAGGAGAATTGCTTGAACCCGGGAGGTGGAGGTTGCAGTGAGTGGAGATCAGGCCACTGCACTCCAGGCTGGGTGATATAGCGAGACTCTCTCTCAAAAAATAAAGATAAAATAAAACAAAAGATAGAGACTCTGTTTCCAAAAAAAAAAAAAAAGAAAAAAAAATCCAATTACCAATAAGATGTTTTTTTACAACTATGTGTAAAAAAATGTTATATTGTAAAAGTTGACTTTCAAAAACCCAGTAATATCATAATAATATTACATAAAGGCTTTAAAATGTCATCAATATGTGTTCTGAACACTATAAAACAAAGTTACAAAAGGAACATCAAACATTTCTAAAAGTTTGTGTTGAATTTCTATACCTTTGTGGCAAAGAAAGGAAGAATACAAAAACAAAAAAATAAGTAAAAGAAAAAGAAAACATACCAACACCAACAGCACCAAACTGCTGCCCAACTAAGGAACTTGGACTGAACTGACTGTATGTGGGCATCCTGCCGAAAGGCCCATAAGAACCCATGGACTGGAATGAAGAAGTCGATGAGCCTAGTGAGGACTGAAGGAAAATCATTGGTTATATTTCCAAGCTCTAAGCAACATGTATATAACAAAAAAAATTTCCAGATTTTTACATTTTTAAGAAAATTATTAAATTATAACTACTAGACATAAAATGAATTACAATATGCATTTAAAACAGCCAAAGAACTTTCTGATTTCAATGTCTGTCTATAATGTGCCAATTATACTCACTGTGACTTACAAATAATTTTTTCTACAATGAACTCCCAATTTGAGTTAAGAGTTTTTAGAGAGAGAAAAGAAACAGTTATTTTTCTTAAAAGTAACTTTGCCTAAAGAAAAATATGAGAAAAGTAACTTTTAGTAATACTGAGTTTTAGTCTGATGCTGATATAAATCTCACTTGTGATTTTACTTATTTTCAATCATTTGAGGCCTACTATTACATTCACAGGAAAGAGATGTAGAGACAAACATATCCCATGTAAAACCATTTACATTTTTACTTATATTAAGCTGAGGAACATTTTATAAAAACTTTAACTTAAACCTAAAGCATATATATTTTAAAATATATGTTAATACATATATACTTCATATATTATCTCATTTAAACTGTTTCATAATATAAACATGAAGTGTGTTAAAGGCTACTAGGACATACACTCACTGATGGCAGGACCTTTTCTGTGTGTTCACTACTAGTGTTAAGCACATACCAGATATTCCGTAAATACTACCAAATGAATAAGAAGATCAAGTAGAAGTTTATGATGATTGGAAGAAGTTATTCAACACCATTTTCATTTGCTCTCTCTCAGATTTTTTTTATTCCTTAAAACTGATTACTCAAATAACTGGTTCCCTGGAGAATTATCAAAGGCATATATAAGAGACAGTAAGGTACCACCAATGTTTGGTGTAGGCAGCTATCTCTATTAAGAACGTGTCTCTTGCTTCTCCATTTAAAGAGATTCACATTTTTTCATATTCCTTCAGGCTTCCTTTCACCAAAAGAAGACTTAAAAAGGGTAGGGATAGATGAGAGTAGAGAATTTCTCTAGCTTATGCTGTAAGAACAAAATTTGCAATTCCTTATTAAAAAGGTTAAATTGAAAAATTTAAGAGCTGATCTAAATATATTAAAATACATTTATGTTTATGTTTTCTTATTATATAACACTGCAGGCCAGGCACAGTGGCTTCATGCCTGTAATCCCAGCACTTTGGGAGGCTGAGGTGGGCGGATCACTTGAGGTCAGGAGTTTGAGACCAGGCTGGCCAACATGGTGAAACCCCATCTCTACTAAAAACACAAGAATTAGCTGGGTGCTGTGGTGCATGCCTGTAATCCCAGCTACTCAGGAGGCTGAGGCAGAAGAATTGCTTGAACCCGGGAGGTGGAGATTGCAGTGAGTCGAGTTCATGCCACTGTACTCCAATGACTCTATTTCAAAAAGAAAAAAGAGAAACAAAACAAAGACGAACATTGCATATTATATAATAAGCAGAACAATGTGATTTTGCTTTTTTCCCCATTAAACCTAATAATCTTGTCTAAGAACTGTTATTGCCCTGGTTTGCAATATAAACCATATCTTGATAGTATGGTAGCACAGATCCTAGATTCTGAAGCAGGCTGCCTGGATCTGTACAAATTGTGGCTCCATCTCAATTTCCTCACTTGTTAAAAGTGAGAATAATTATGGTACCAACCTCAGAGGGTGCCTTATATGCACAGTGCTTCTACAGAGTAGCCTTCGATATTAGCTATTGTAATTGTTGTTGAAATTAGAAAATATTTTATAATAAATTCCTCAGCTGTTTTTTACCTTAGTCCTAATTTATGATACAAAGAGAAAAACCCAGATGAGATCATTATCCAGTAATTTCAGGTATCCAGGTAACTTGGAAATGATAAGCTACATCAACATTCAACCAGGAGAGAAAAAAGTCAAGGCTAACCCTGTGTGAAGTTTACCTGTACTCCAAGAAAAATTTACTGTCAGTTACCTGAACGATAGCTGGGTCTTGAGGCAAAGAACACTGTGGTTTTGGTGGCTCACAAACAGTGAGGTCTTTAATGTCACTCCCACGGAATATAATATATTCAAAGACTTCATCTCGAGGTGGTATTGGACGATCTGTTGGTCTGTCTTCTGTACCAAAGGATCGAACTGGCAAGAAAACAAAGGATGTGAGATGTGTGACTACTCATCAAATTCAAGTACTACCCCAGATTTATAGTGTTATATTTCAGGTTCTGCAGTAGTTTGAAGTGTCTGAGAAAGTACTCATTCATCCATAGCTAAGTAATTTTTTTAAAAGAGGAAAATAGAGTAGGTTTTATCTGAAGTTAAATATATGGAAAATAAAAGATTATCAGTATTATGAGGTTGTGTTCCTCTCATATTTTTATTTATTTGTATCTTTAGTGGTTGTAGTGGGGTATTAAAATGTCCTTTCATTATTTACCCATTTATTGAGACAGGCTGTCTCCCAGACTGGAGTGAAGTGGTATGGTCATGGCTTCCTGCAGCCTCAGTTTCCTGGGCTCAGGCGATTCTTCCATCTTAGCCTCCCATGTAGCTGGGACCAGGGGCATGTGCCATTAAGCCCAGCTAATATTTTATGTTTTAGTAGAGATAAAGTCTTGCTATTTTGCACAGACTGGTCTTGAACTCCTGGCCTCAAGTAATCTTCCTGCTTCGTCCTCTCAAACTGCTGGATTACAGGCCTGAGCCACTCTGCCTGGCTCACTGTTAATTTATTTTTAATGTCCTCATTCAGCAAAATAAAAATTAGAAACCTAAGTCTTTCTTTGGAGGGAGGGTAAGACAAGATTTTTCCAGTCTGCAAAATCTCAAAGTTTAGGTATTGGTCTTTGGGACACAGAGAACCAATGAAGGTATTCATAACATTTATTTGCTGAGCAGTAAGTCCTCTAGAAGCCAAGTCAAACAGCTGCCAGCTATTCAGCCCCATGGGACAGCCTAAAATATCCTAGTTGTCTAAAATATCAACCATATAATTAAATCTGATTATTTTAACAACGAAGATAGCATTACTCAAAGCTAAACTGGGGACCACCTGCAACACAGTAAGCTGGCTACAAATGAAGATTTCTATTGAATAAAACTTATTGAGGACAGGGTCCAAAAATCTGCATTTTAAGCTACTATGGTTAAGGATAATGGTTAACGTCTGTAAATGCCAGCCCTGGCAACAGAGTGATGTACTATCTCTACAAAAAAAAATTTTTTTTTAAAAATTAGACACCTGTCTAATTTTTAAAAACATTATGCCTGTAGTCCCAGCTACAAAGAGGCTGAGGTGGAAGGATTGCTTGATCCTGGAAGGTTGAGGCTGCAGTGAGCCATGGCTGTGCCACTGCACTCCAGCTTGGGTGACAGAGCAAGACCCTGTTTCAAAACAAATAAAATAACCAAATCCCCAAGTTTCTTATAAATTTGTAAGTTCCAGGTTCATTGTCCTGGGAGAATTCTGAAAATGTCTGCATCCATACAGATGTTCCAAATAGAGAATATGAAACATCATATACTATTCATTTAAAGAATAGACTCAAGGAAGTAAACCCTTTAACATTTCTTTTTCCTTTTTTTTTTTTTTTTGAGATGGAGTCTCACTCTGTTGACCAGGCTGGAGTGCAGTGATGCGATCTTGGTTCACTGCAACCTCTGCCTCCTGGGTTCAAGAGATTCTCCTGCTTCAGCCTCTGAGTGGCTGAGATTACAGGCGTGTGCCACCACGCCCAGCTAATCTTTGTATTTTATAAGTGGAGATGGGGTTTCACTATATTGGCCAGGCTAGTCTAGAATTCCTGACCTCAAGTGATCCACTGTCTCAGCCTACCAAAGTGCTGGGATTACAGGTATGAGCCACCATGCCTGGCCCCCTTTAACATTTTTAATGCATACACTTTTTTTTTTTTTTGGTAGAACTAATGCAGTGCTAGATTAAGGATGAATGTCAGGCTGAATCTACTGGCTCGTGCCTGTAATCCCAGCACTTTGGGAGGCCAAGGAGGGCAGATCACTTGAGGTCAGGAGTTTGACACCAGCCTGGTCAAAATGGTGAAATACTATCTCTATTAAAAACACAAAAAATAATTAGGTGGGTATGTTGGCATGAGTCTGTAAATCTAGCTGCTCAGGAGGCTGATTGGGAGGATTGGTTGAATTCAAGAGGCAGAGGTTGCAGTAAGCTGAAATGATGCCACTGCACTCCAGCCTGGGTGACAGAGCGAGACTCTGACTCAAAAAAAAAAAAAAAAAAAAAAGAATGTTATTTTAGTGTAAATAATGTCTTTATACTCTTATTCTAAAAATTCTTTCTAGTATTTATGAGACTTCCAGGAAAGATAGTAGCACAGGCAGTTTGGCAGAAAATCCTTCCCTAAAACTAAAGGAAAGAAAAAGGAAGTTAAAATATCCCTACAAGCATGAAAAATTCTCAAATTCATACCATGAAATTTTATTAAATAGTATCATTCAGGTACAGAATGAGTGAGTTGAAACTGAAAGATCAAGCCCAGAATCCATACGTAGTATCCCCTGCCCTCTCCTCCCTCCAGAGAAATTTTGACTAGTACCTTCAACTTGCTAAGATGGGATACATCACACACACAGGTGTGATGAGGAAAAAAATGTGGAATGGCTACCTGAAGCTCCCTTTCTCTGATGGTCAAAGAGTACTTAAGCAGGTAGGAAGATTTTATATTTTGACCTTTATCCAAAAGGAAGGATAAGGAGAAAGGACTAAGAAACTACAAATAAATCAATCTCACCCCTAACCTCAGTATGATCACATCAAATAAAGTCTCACGCTTCCAAAGTAGCAGATGAGCTCATCCTGATACAAAGGGTTTGTCAAAGGTCCATCTACAAAATTAGAGAGGCTCTATTAGGTTTCCTAAGGCCTAATAGAGAGAGAGAGAAGCCAGGTAAATTGAGAGTGAAGTAAAAGAGAATTTGCACTTCATCTTTTGCAAAAAAAGAAAAAAAAGAGTTGAAAAATCATAGAATCAAGAAAAATTTTACAGTAAAGAAGGGAAGAAAAGAAAAACAGAGAGGCAATGATGGAAGAAAAGTAAAAAGGCAAAGGAGAAGAGAAGAATCAAAGAAGACATGGTCTTCATTTGCTTCTTCTATTATTTGAGAAGGAGTCTTGCTCTGTCATCCAGGCTGGAGTGCAATGGCACAATCTCAGCTCACTGCACCCTCTGACTCCTGGGTTTAAGCAATTCTCTTGCCTCAGCCTCCCGAGTAGCTGGGATTACAGGTGACCGCCAGAACAATGCCCGGCTAATTTCTTTCTCTGTATTTTTAGTAGAGATGGAGTTTCTCTATGTTGGCCAGGCTGATCTCAAATTCCTGACCTCAGGTATCAACCCACCTCAGCCTCCCAAAGTGCTAGAATTACAGGCGTTAGCGCATTTTTTTAAATCTTTTTTTTCCCCCACAAGACCGAGTCTTGCTCTGTTGCCCAGGCTGGAGTACAGTGGCGTGATCTTGGCTCACTGCAACCTCTGCCTCCCGGATTCAAGTGAATCTCCTGCCTCAGTCTCCCGAGTAGCTGGGATTACAGGAATGCACCACCATGCCCAGCTAATTTTTGTATTCTCAGTAGAGAGGAGGTTTCACCATGTTGACCAGGCTGGTCTCAAACTCCTAACCTCGTAATCTGCCCACCTCAGCCTCCCAAAGTGCTGAGATTACAGGCACGAGCCACTGCACCTGGCCTCATTTGCTTACTTTTTTTTTTCCCCATTACCAGCAGTTTGACCTGACAGAGAGAACACAGTTTTCAAAAAGTAGATGAATCCCAGCTACTCGGGAGGCTGAGGCAGGAGAATTGCTTGAACCCGGGAGGCGGAGGTTGCAGTGAGCCGAGGTCGCGCCACTGCACTCCAGCCTGGTGCCTGGTGACTAAGTGAGACTCTGTCTCAAAAAAAAAAGTAGATGAAATACATTCAGTATTAATATTTATCACAGAAAATAGAAGAAATTTTCTGAAAGAACTGCTTTGACATTCACAAGAAAAACACAAAGCATAGACTCTTATGATTAAAACAACACTGAAAATGTAGCATGCAGAATTAAGGAATGAAAATTATATAAGATAAATAAAACTGCATAATTAATAAATGCATCAACAAACAGAACAGTCAATGCAGTAAAACCAAATCACTAGAAGAGAATAATTTTGAGAAAATGTAAACGAGATGTCATGAAATAGTATAGCAATAAAAAGGTTAGAGAGAAGATGATAGTTATGAAGATCCAACAGTTAGTTAACTGCTGCCCCTTAGGTAGATAAAAGAATAAGAGAAAATATAATTAAAGATATAACAGAATAGAAATGTCTTGACATGAAGGCCTAAATTTCATCAAAGGTTTTCACTGTATTTCCAGAAAACAAAAAATAAATCAGTACATTACAAGCCACAGAGACTTATGCTTTGCTGTATCAAAATAAAGAATTCAAAAAAAGTGTTATCCAAAGATAACAAATGGACAATAAATTCATTTAAGCACAGAAGTGTACATGACAATTTATATGGTTCTAGAACAGAAATAGTTCTGGAAAAGACTACAAAGTATAACAAACTAAGAACAGTGTATCACAACATTTTAACAAAAATTGGGAGATAAAAATGAATGGAGAGAGAGGAAAACTAACAGGTGGTAGTATCTAAACTTACACTTTGATCTCTCATCATGTCAAGTAGCAGTCACTTGATACTTTTTTTGTTAGCTGATACTAAATGAAGGCTTTAAAATTTGTTACTTGAAAGAATTTGTTACATTCTACTGTGGGTCTTCAAAGTAACTCATATTAGAATTTAAAACTAAGAGCATACTTTCCAAAATATGGTGTGAAGAAAAACTCTATCATATGGCAAATGAAACAAACTGAAAAAGCATGAAAACAGAAGCCACAGAATAAGAACGATTTGTACACAACAAGCATTTGAGAAACATGCTCTAATGATGGAGGTGGCTTAATCAGATTTGGGGTTTTCAACGCAATAGAGTTCTTGTAGTATTGTGAAGAACAAATAATACAAGAGAGATTGGAAGGGTACACATGGCTAGAAGATACTGTTACAGAACAAATGAGAAGTCCAAAAGGTTAAAACCTGAGCATTAAGAGT